TATATTCTACAAAGTGCCAAGATCTCCAGACTCACATAAAAGACATACACACGCACAAGGAGTCTGAAGCCTAAGCCAGTGCCAATAGCCCGGCTTTCTTCTCCTTTGACTCGTCCTCAGTCTTCAGCGGTTTTGTCTCCTCCGGCTCGCCCTCGACCTTCTTCAGCTCCAGTTCCTGCTCGGCCTTCAACCCGTACAGATCGAGTCGGTCGCTATACCAGAACATGACGAAGTCTCCGAACAGGGAAATGAACATCAGCACTGGAAAGGGATGGGGGAATTTGAGTGAATAGACGGAGAGGGAAGGAGGGAGGGAGAGAGGGAGAGGAGGGAAGAGGAAGAGGGAGAGGAGGAGGAGGAGGAGGAGGAGGAGCAGGAAGAAGAAGAAGGAGGAGGAAGAGGAGGAAGAGGAAGAGAGACAGACAGACAGACAGGCAGACAGACAAACAAACAGAAATAAAGGGAAAGGAATATAGATAGATAGATGGAGAGAAATGGAATTAGACTAAAAAAAAAATTAAGATACATATGGTGTGAAAAGCAAGACAGCTGCATCTCGGAAAGAAAAGGAGGAAGAAGGTCAGAAGAAAAAGGAAAAACGTAAAACTCACCCGCAGGAACCAAGTGAAGGATTTTTCTGAACTTGTCGGAATCGTAGAGCCAGCAGTTCCCTGTCCTGCCGCAGGATGTATCCCACACGAGACAAGCTGAATCTGTGGAATTACCATATCGATAATGATGACTATTAGACTCATTAAAAAAAGTTAAAAAGAAATGGGAAGTTTGAAAAGAGGCATGCGGACAAATATGAATATTATTGTAGCTGGCTAACTTGACGAGATATTCAGATATTTAATATGGACCATTGAGAATTGGCATTAAGAGTTTCTGTAAACTAATCGTCGTTAGTTTCTACGTGAATGCTGTTTCAGGTTAGAAAGCATCAACACTTTCATTACTAAGCACTCACATTGCACGTGCTAAACCCTAAAACTCAACAACTCACAAAGTCATGCAACCTAAAGGGTTCCCGACACCAGGCCTTTGCAACATGCAATAGATCACGCACAGTCACTCAGGAGGTTTATTTCTTGTAGGTTGCATTACTTTCAGAATTTATCTGCTGCGACTCTGACACACAAGGTAACTTTACAAACTTTATCCAGATTCTTGGAAAACTTGGAAAATTAGATTTCAAAATACTACTAGAGATACCCTGAAGGTGAATTTTTCGTACCTCCTACGAGAAAGAAAATCGATACTTGCTTCACTCGTAAACACAAATGAGCAAGAGGGACAAAAAGTAAACAACAATTAGTAACAAAATAATAATGACAAAAATACTTTGGTAAGACAATTTCTTCGGAGTTGTAAAAAAAAAATAATTTACCCCTTTATCCAAAGAAGAGAGTGCAGGGGCAACATGAAATCAGATCCAAACAACACAGGTAGTAATAAAAAATCGAAGAATAAAAGTAACCTGGAATCTGAACACCAATCTACAGCCTTGAGTAGAGAGACGCTCATGATGTCCCTGTCTGCCCCACGCCCCTGCCACGTACCTATGATGGCGCCCATGATAATAGGAGCAGGAATGAACGCGAACAGGCTGATGAACACGGTCAGGGTGCCCAAGGCGATCCCTTTGTCCTCCTCCGCCACGGCCCTGAGGACAAGGGAAGAGAAGGGGATGAGGGGAAGAGGTATATGGAAGTTAGAAAGAAAGAAAGGGGGAGAATGTATATATACATAGAGTGATAGGAAAATAAGAGGAGGAGGAGAGAGACAAAGACTGATAGATAGGTATATAGATAGATAGATAGATAGGTAGATAGATAGAGAGAGAGAGAGAGAAGGGGGGGAGAAGGAAAGATAAGCAGAGAGAGAGGGGGGAAGGAAAGATAAGCGAGAAAGAGAAGAGAGGAAGAAATGTGGTGTAATCAATAAATCCAAGAAGGAGAGGAAGAACAGAGACAATCTCCAATTACAAATATCTAGCCTTAAGAGAAAAAAAATCATCTCTTACATATGAGAATCAAGAAATAACCAACATTGCAAACATGAAAGTAAATACTAATACCCTTTATTCCACCTAATCCTGGACATACGTAATCCAAAATATTCTACCAAACTCGCAAAACAGAAGCAACAATACCTTAGCTGGACAATGCTGCCCCCTATCCTGCCGACCGACGATACAGTCTGCACAATAATCTGAGTGAGCATGTAGTAGAAAAATCCATCGCAAGGTTCTGGACAGTAGCCTCTGGTGACAAAGCCCCAAGAGCTGGTGTTCTGAAATTCAATTGTAGAAATCAGTGTATATTATTGTAGGGTCACTCATTATTATCATTATCGTTATTATCGTTAGTGGTGGTGTTATTTATATTATTATTATTATTATACTATTAATACTATTATTATTATCATTATTATTATTATCATTATCATTATCATTATCATTATTATTATTATTATTATTATTATTATTATTATTATTATTATTATTATTATTATTATTATTATTATTATCATTATTATTATTATTATTATTATTATCATTATTGTTATTATTATTATTATTATTATTATTATTCATTATTCATATTCTATTTATTTATATTCTATCTTTAAGTTACTATTTTTATACTGTGAAATCACAATACTTATTATAATCAAGAATGTGGGAGAATGCACATAATTGTTGACTGAAAGGGGGGGGGGATGAAGTGCGTGTGATTAAACCTGTTATCTTGGAAAAAAGTGAAATGCCATCGCTAACTGTTTATTTATCAATACTGCAAGATAACTATTGTCCTCGTGGCTCAAGATTATATAATAATGTAAGGCAACTGATATGAAATCAGTGATGGAATTGCATTGTGAATATAGTCTTGAATTAAAAAAAATATATATATATACCCTATTATTGCTATATTACACCACACTTTAAGGATTACAGTCACATTTTTCCCACCACATTTTCTATCCCTAATCAAACCACAACTCAAGATCCTACACAGTGATACTTTAAATCTCTATCTGCAAATGCAAATGCAATACACGCTGCAACGCCACGACGAACCTTTGAGCCTGCGTCGAGGACGGGGCTCAGGGTCGAGGCAGAGACGGAGCTTTGGATGCATCTGCAGCCGGTGTAAATCTGAAAGGGAAAAAAAAGAGCCGTATAAAAGCTCTATCCAAAGCTCTAAAGCTCTATCCTGTCTGTCGAAGTTTTCTCCAGAGGGGATTGGGAATTCATCGTTGCTTGTCTGTTTTGGTCATGGCTTTGGGTTGATCGCTTTTGTTTTTCTAAAAGATGTTTTTTTTCTATTATTGTTGCTGTTGTAGGTAAACATTTGCACGATTATAGATTATATAAATAAATATAAAAGATAAGGATCAATAAATAGATAGATATACAAATCAATTTATATACATTTTATATATATATATATATATATATATATATATATATATATATATATATATATATATATATAATATATATAAATATATGTATATATATATATATATATATATATATATATATATATATATATATATATATATATATATATATATATACATACATATATATATATATATATATATATATATATATATATATATATATATATATATATATATATATATATATGTATATATATATATACACATATATATACACACATATGTATATACATACACACATATATGTATATATACATACATACACACACACACACACACACACACACACACATATATATATATATATATATATATATATATATATATATATATATATATATATATACATATATACATATATACATATATAAATATAAACAAATATTTATACATATACATATATATATATATATATATATATATATATATATATATATATATATATATATATATGTGTGTGTGTGTGTGTGTGTGTGTGTGTGTGTGTGTGTGTGTGTGTGTGTGTGTGTGTGTGTGTGTGTGCATGCGTGCGTGCGTGGGCATGTCTGTATGTACACATCTATCTTCAATATATAAGTGCGCGCGTCCATAAGTGTCCACACACACCCATGCACCTACAATGGGATCAGCGGTGACGTTGGCCAGGGAGCAGCCGGCGTAGCAAGGCGAGTAGAACAGCGTGGTTTGGTCCTCCGAGCAGACGGGCGTGAATTTCTCGGTGCACCCGCAGTCCGCCGAGCACTGAGGTCCGGCGTTGCTGTGAGGAGACCGTTTAGTTGGATTATGCTTCGTCGTTTATGTTTTTTTTTCGTTTTGCGACGTGTCGTGAATGATTTCACATCCCATCTCACACCTCGTCTCCCAACTTCCTTCATATCTCACCTTCTACCCCCCTTCACCTCCCATCTCATACCTCGTCTCCCCTCTCCCTTCACATCCCCCTACTAGCCGAGTCCCAGCGCCCACCCTCGCCCCGCCCCCAGTACTCACCCGCCCCCAGTACTCACCCGTCCACAGGCCCGACCACTTCGAGCCTCGGGCAGCCCACGAACATGAGGGCGATGAAACCTGCGCAGCCAACGATGGTCGTGAAGATGTTGTATCCCATGATGAGTCTTGGCCTCGGGCGCGCCCACCTGATCACGCTGCCGCCCACGCCCGCCCCGACGACGGAAACGATCAGGCTGGACATTCCTGTGGGGGTAGGAGGGTGAGATGGGGAAAGATAGGTTTTTTGTCTATGTGATGCGTGTTTGGGATTCCTTTTTCTCTGTCAGCTTCTCTTGCCTTCTCTCTTTTTTTCTTTCTCTTTCTCTCGCTCTCTCGTGCTCTTGCTCTCTCGTGCTCTCGCTCTCGCGTGCTCTCTCACTCTCTCTCTCTCTCTCTCTCTCTCTCTCTCTCTCTCTCTCTCTCTCTCTCTCTCTCTCTCTCTCTCTCTCTCTCTCTCTCTCTCTTTTATTTGATTTTCCAAATGCATCTACCTCTAACTTTTGTAATTCATTTATTATTATCTATTTACTATAAATATTATAATCCAAAACAACATAAGAAATGTAACCCTACCTATGAATTATTTGCATCCGTAGCCCTCATAAAGAAGTAATGCTCACTTATGACTACAAACAGGAAACGCAAAATAAAAGAAAAAATATCCGAACCGATCTTTCCGAAAACCAAAAACCCATTTTTTTTTTCAGGTCCCAATTGTGAACAAAAGATCCAACAACCTCACCTCTGAAATGACTTGCATCCGTAACCGTCATCGGGACACAATGATTTCCAGTATTTCTTACAAAATTACCCCAAACAGGGAAACCTCCCAAATAACTAAATTTAAAAAAAAATCAGAACAAACAGATAAAACAAAAATCCACACCGAACCTTCAAAAAAAAAAAAAAAAAAAAAAAAAAAAGAACCCCACCTGCGAACGAAATCCCTAAAATCCTCACCCGTAAAATAGTTTGCGTCCGTAGCACTTTTTCGGAACTGATTCTCCATGTACTTGGGCTTGAAGCTCCAGTAACCCGAGACGCCAAGGAGGGTGAAGACGGCGTTGAACAGGTTGCCCGTCCAGATGCGGTTCGTGAATAGTCGGCGAAGGGCTTTTGTTAAGTCTGTTTTGGGGATATTATTATTATCATGGTGATGATAATAAAATGATATTGTTATTAATTAGAGTAAAATGATTATCGTCATAATAATGATAATAATAATTACTATTAGTAGTAGTAGTAGTATTGATGATTAATAATAATAATTAGTGATAATAAAGATAATAGCAATCATAATCATTATCATCATCATAATAATATTGATAATAACAATAAAAAAATAATTGCATTATTCATGATAATCACCATCATAATCATAACAATAATAATAATAATAATTTGAAGAAGAAGAAAAATATAGTAATAATAACAATTAGTGATGATAATAATGATAGCTTTAATAAGTGATCATGATAATAGTAAATATAATACTAATGATAATAATAATAATATAAAAAACAGTAATGATGGTAATAATGACAATGATAATGATAATATTAATAACAATAATAATAATAATAATTATTATTATTATAAATAATATAATTATTACCATTATTACCATAACACATGATTATCATATCATAATCATCACGTCATTATCCTTATCGTCATGATTAATTCCACCATTATCATCCCCGCCAACCATTAACTCGAATTTTCCTCACAAAAAAAAAAAAAAAAAAAAAAAAAAAAAAATCGTTTACTTTTGAGCGTCGGTCGAGATTCCGTTTTCTTTTCCTTGGCGAGAGCAGCGAAGTGGTCGAAACTTTTGTTGCCTCCTTCTTCCCTGTCTTTATCCATCTGTTTTATCATCCTCTTCGTCTCCCTCCTTAGTGTGGCCGGCAGTTTTTTGGGGAAGAAGAAGAGAAGGTTGCCCACGATAACCAGGGCAACGCCAAGGAATACAAAACCTGGTGGGGGGGAAGACAAGTTGTTTTTCTCTTTTTGTTATTCTTATTGTTTGTTTTATTTGTGGGATTTCAAAATGTGGTATTTTTTGTATTTAAAAGAAACATGAATTGTGATTTGCTATAATTGTATTCTTGTGTAAAAAAAAAAAAAAAAAAAAAAAAAAAAAAAGTATCAGGTAAAGAAGCGCGTCTGGTTATGTTTTTCAGTCACATATAGTGCAGAAAGAAGAGGTAGCAGCCTATTACGGGAATCCCTTAGAATAAGTATATACATAATACTATTGTTTAATCTATTCATTTGTTTATATATTTAAGGGGTAAGAATGTGACTATTCCGTCAATTTAGCTTTTAAAAATATAATTCCATCTAAGTCACAGTCGCGTATCATTCCCCACCTATCCACCAGGCCCCGAGCCACCGGGGATCCTTCTGGCTGATGTTGGGCTTCTTGGCCGGGTCGATCCACAGCGAGAGGCAGCGGCCGCCCAGCACGAAGCCGAACACAGGGCCCAGCACTCTCAGGAGGGACACGAGAGCTGAAGAAGCGCGAAGGCATTATCAGATTAAAAAAACGAATTCAATGTGGAAGGAAGAAAAAAAAAGGGAATCATTGACTATCTATAGTGAGGAGACGTATTTCAATAACCTACTGTAAAAGATAGGATATGTCTTTTTGCTGATGTTGTCGTCAAGGTACGTGACGCCAACTGTGAAGAAGATGCTGATGGCGATGCCGACGAAGAACTGCGCGAGGAACATCAAGAACATGGGCCCCAAATATGCCGCCCCCTCTTCCTTGCATGTGTCCACCTCGCGCTTGTGGCAGAGCTCTTCCTCTTCTGTTTTTGGGAAGGGAAATGGAGACATTATTGCATTAGGAAAAAATGTGTATTCGATATACAGTAAAATCATCGAAACCATGTGTGAGTTGATCAATCATTTTTCTATTCTTCGTTTCTTTATTAGGTTACTATATCATCTAGAGGGATGATTCAATTTACGTATCGGTCTTTCATGCACGATGATCGAGATCGAGAACAGAAAAAGAAGGACGATGTG